TTACTTCTTCCTTGGTCTGCTTCTGAATTCTCCAGCATTTTTTAAATTTAAAAAATTTAAATTTTAAATTTACTTTAATGAACAGAAATAGAACAAAAAAAAAAAAATGACCTCAAAAGAAGTAGAAAAAGGAAAAAAGAGAGAATAAAACATTCTCTGACATGCAGAAAATAACTCAGTTTTTAAAGGCAGCATTAAACCTTGTCCACATAGAATACTGTTGGTCAGTCTTTTCATTATGTTAATAAAGAGCAAGTTCATAACCAGAGAGCAAGCACCAATCATCAGTGTAAGATTGTAAGTCCAGGGTGGTGCTTTTTCCCCCCATTGTAACAGAATAATCTTCTTTTACTACACCCCATATTCAGTGAATTTAGAGTTCTTTGTATATTAATAACTTCCACATTTTCAGTTTTTAATTCAATAACACATCTTTAAAATCCATTCCTCTTCCCAAAACCATATTAACAAACTTAATAATATTAAATTAAAACAGGACACTAGTGGGTCAAACCCATATTATAGGTGAAGGAGCCCTCTCCCATTGCTTTACACTTCCAGTATAATGAAGTTGACACCCAGCCCTTTCTAAACATTTTTGTAGTGTCCAGTAAACAATATTTCTCAGTTGTCGAATTAGTGTCATTTTAAGATAATAAGAAAATATGTAATATTCTTTAAAACCTATAAGTACAGGTAGTCCTCACCTTATGACCATCCATTAAGTGACTGTTTGAAGTTACGGAGGTGCTGAACAAATGATGGTTACGACTGGTCCTCAGAGTTCTGGCCATCCCAGCACGCTCATGGTCACGTGATCACCTTGTTGTCTCTCACCTACAACTGGTTGCAGTACCCTGCGATCATGTGATCGCCATTTGTGACCTTCCCTGCCAGCTTCCCCAGAAAGTGAATGGGGAAGCTGGCAGCGAAGGTCACAAGTTGCTGGGGTAAGTCTCACCCACCTGCACACCTGTGATGGAAGGCATGAGTGAGGAGGATTCTGGAATGGAGCTTCAAGGTTACAGGGAGGGGGGAGAGACATTCCAAGGAAAGCACCTCCTCAGCCCCCAGCTGGATTGTGTGAAGGTCAAGAGAAAGAGACTGGCCCCTCCCTAAGGGCATAATGGTTGCTGTCGTTGGGGGATTAGAGTTAGTCTGGCGAGATTCTGTCTCTTAGGTGCAGGCTAATAAAGAAGCTGAGCTGATTTCTGGACTGTCGCATGTGATTCTTGGGCTGAACCTGACAATACCCTCCCCCAGTCTTTTTGTGCTTATCCCATGCTGGACACTTGCACACCCATGCACACCCTCATTGAGCCTCCCCTGCCATTTGCACACCCCTGTGCACCCTCCCCACACCTCCTTCACACCCTTGCACCCCTCTGTGCACCCTCCCTGAGCCTCACTGCACCTCCCTTGCACCCTCATGCACCTCCGTGCACCTTCCCTAAGCCTCGCTACACCTTCCATGTACCCCTGCACTCCCTCCCTGAACCTCGCCAGACCTCCCATGCACCCCCTCAGTGCCTCTCCCACCTGGCAGCAGCCACCCCAAGCCTCACTGTACTCGCACTGTGCCAGTCTGGCCATCTGGGCATGCCCTCCCCTACCCGGCAGCAGCCACTTACCTGCCTGCAGGCCTGCTTGCAAGCCAGCTGGGACTTGCAACTTCCTCCTGACTTCCCCACTGACTTTGGTTGTGGGAAGCCAGGAGGAAGTTGCGAGGAGGTCTTTTACGTGTTTTACAATTGCATTGCTTAGCAATGGAAATTCCAGTCCCAATTGCCATTGTAACTCGAGGACTACCTGTGTTGATTTGCTCATATGGGGTTCATGCAAATAACCAATCACAACCTTCGTAATATTCCTTAAATGTCATATTAAAAATACTGTAGCATTAGAATAATCCAAACTGTATTTCAATGCTAGTAGCAAGTTTTAGATGCTGTTATTGAATCTGGACCAAATTGTGAAATTAAATGATGTTTTAATTGAATATGCCATCATTCTACAGTTTTAGACAATCCAAATTCTCTAGCAGTACCTCAGATGAATTAAAAACATAATTGGCAGTAAACTGTCATATACTATACATGTTTTAGACTGTGAAAAGAAAAAAAGAAAAAAGATTTACCTATTATTTCCAGAGTAGAATTCTGGAATGGAGTAGAATGCAAATTTATACTTCAATCCCGGCAACCTCCAAGTATGTCTTGCAACCTTTTATGTTTGTTTATTTATTTATTAAATTTATATGCCAGCCATCTCCCCCAGAGGGTGACTCTGGGTGGCTCACAAACATTAAAAATAGTAAAAATATAAATATTTGTATTAAATTAGCTAAAAATAATATTATATAAAAAACTATGTACATAAAAAAGCTATAAAATTCAAGATGATGGGGGGGGCAGAATCAATTACCCCACAAGCCAAGTTCAACAATGCGAGCCCCCATCAGGCCCCCAGACCATCTGGCATAGCCGAGATTTCACATTCTTCTTGAAGGCCATGAGAGTGGGGGCGTACCGCACCTCAGGTGGTAAGTTGTTCCACAGAGCGGGGGCCACGGCAGAAAAGGCCCTCTTCCTAGACCCCATCAGCTGAAATTCCTTGACTGGTGGGGTCCACAACATGCCCCTTCTGCCAGACCGAGTGGGGCAGGCTGATATCATGGGGGCGAGACGGCTCCTCAGATAACCTGATCCTGTGTCATGAAGGGCTTTAAAGATAATAACCAACACCTTGAATTGGACCCAGACATAGCAGAGGTGTTATATGTGCCTCCCTGGGGCATTCAAAGCTGTCTGCACCGCTGCATTTTGTGCCAGCTGTAGCTTCCGGGGACTCTTCATATTGGAAACACAATATGATTATGACCTAAAAAAGAACTACATGATACCAAAGATGTCACATAATTAGTTTCTAATTGTGTTCATGGTGCTTTTTGAAGCTTGCTTGCTTGAATTTCACAAGGAAATAGAAGTAAAAATATTCCCAAAAATAAAATTGAAAATCAGGGAAGTTAGAACCCTTGTAATCTTAAGGTAAGTGTGATTGTAATAGTTGGTTTCTACACTGATAAAGATTCAGGATGTTATATAAACAAGCAGATGCAAGTTCCTGCACTGCAGAATCTCAGGAAAGCTGTTAGAAAGAAGATCAGAAAGTCCCCATCCTGATATGCATGGAGATAATAGGGTTTCTAACTGGAAAATTGTTCAGTTGCTGTAATTCATGTAACTCCAGTTTATTCATTTTAATAAAGCTTGCTAAAGAGAGCTCTGTGAGAACTATGCTTGGGAAAGAATCATGTTTAGACAGCAACCAAAGAGCCTAATAATAATTTGGATAAGAGAAATCCTTTTGTCCTTCCCACAAAAAGTTTCTTGGTAACTTATACATCTTAAAAATACCTTAACTGTATTAACATAGGATACCTCTAAATACATATATTGGAGGAGTCTAATAATTTCTTGGTGACAAGAACATATTTGATACCTAAGTTTAAGCAGGAAACTTTCTAACTTAAACTGTTTTTTGAATAAGTTGTAATCCAACTTAAAACACTTTTATAGACATTTCACTAGAACATATGATGGAGGAGTTACATTGCGCTCTAGAGGTTCCCTGGGCAGGAATGCCAATTATGTTATCAACAACTGCCACCTAGCACTAAGCATGAAAATCTCAAAGCAAGCTGTTAAGATGTGGAGCATGTGAGAAAAAGAAGCATCTGTTTCTGTGGCTTTAAACTGCAGAGGGTATAATGGAGGGAGGTATGTGCACTTTTATGTTGACAGTGGGCCATCAACTGCCTTAAGCATCTTCGTTCTAATGTGCAATAAAGATTCTTATCTAACAATGCCCTGTTGAATGTCTGGGTAGCTTCAGCTGAGTTCAAGCAGGAGTAGCCTGACAGCAAGAAGCAACTGACTCATTCAGCTTATTAGACCATTAACTTTTTAAATCTTTTAGACAAATTATTTATTTTTTATCCTAACATTTTGAAATAGGCCCTCAACTGTTACCACCTAGCATGGCCCAGGTACAACATCCAAAATCATCATTAGTACAACATTTACTGTTAATAGGAGGACCACATGGGGTTCTTTCTTGGAACAAAATACTATCCAGATCCAACCCCCTCTCCTCCCCTCCCCGCCAAAATAAATCTTTCACATGCTATTTTTGATTTCAAGTGCCTTGGGTCAGAATATAGCAGTGATTAAACCTAAAGCAAAAATACTATCCAACTTAATGGATGCCCCGGATGAAATGATAATATGAACTAACTTCCAGGTATCAGGGCCACCCGTCTTTCCGGTTCTTAATATTTGCCCGTCCATGGCATTGAGAAGAATGGCTTATAATCAGTGCTGTTCTGGAGCAACTCAATTTAAGTCAACTGTGTTAAACTCATTTTGGAAAGTTGGAAAGAGTTCAGCCAAGATAGTAACTCAACATCTGACTTAGGTTCTGTAAAGGAAAAAGAATTTGGCATTAGTCCAACTTAAAGAGAGTGGGAGAGAAGGAACTTAAGCACTGATTTCATTCCATTTACCTAAGCCGTAGTTCAGAATTATGCCATATTTTAATTACATCTTGACAAGATCTGTTTTGCTGTTCATTGTAAGAATTGAAGAATTGCAGGATAAGGTAAGAGAAGGAAAAAACTGCTTGTCTAATTGCTTAGCATGACATTTGATACTAGTAATGTATTATGGGGTGTAACATGACACATACTACTATCTTTTTAATAGAATAATCTGTCACATTGCATTAGCATAGTATTTTTAAGATAATACTGTTTTCACTTTGCAGATGTCTTCCCCATTGACAAAACAATGTCAAGTGAAACTGAAATGAGAATCGATGTCTGAAAGAATTAATAATGTCAGATTTACCACCTCTTTCCCTTAAAAAGCATACTTTAAATTCAGTAGAGACATAGAAACATCTGTAGATGTAGTTATAGGCTGCCAATTTGTCTCTTGCAGGGAAGATTACCATGAAGATGGGTTTTGCCAGCCATACAGGGGAATTGCCTGTGCACGAATCATTGGAAACAGGACTATTTATGTGGACTCACTCCAAATGCAAGGGGAAATTGAAAACCGGATTACTGGTAAGTCAGTCTACCTCTCTTCATGTCAGAGAATATTGTATTTCATGCAGAAACTTGAAATCCAATTTTAACACCATAATAAATGGAAATCAATCCAGGCAATTTTTAGAGGAAATTGAGACAATGTTGTTTTTTTATTATGCAGTAACTCTTTCAGTAAACACTAATTTGATATTAGTTGGAAAGAAGTGGGCAAACTTTTTTGAAGCTTAGGGTTGCACTTTTATTTATTATCACAAAATAAATAAATTGTATTTACTTAAGTAATGGCTGCATGAGATATTATAAGACATGTAGATTCTTTGGGGAAAAAATTGATTGAGGAAATGGGTAAAGCATCTAGCTGGTCTTTTATTTTGTCTGAAAAAATATGAAAAATGTGCCACCAAACATCAGAAGATTTATGAGTGATCTGTTGGTTATATGAACCAAGTGACTTTATACTTAAATTTATATACAGAAGAGTTTTTTCTGATCCTGTTAGTTTCCACTCTTAGCCATTAGGAGTGCAACTGTAACCCTTAATAGTAACAATATGCAAATTAACAAATTAACTCTCTTATTTTTTGTTCATGCTCTGATTGATTGCTATCTTTAGGGTTGCACATTTCAAGCAAGGAAGTTAATGGGATATATTCATTTCCTCTTCAGCGCTTATGGCATGCATTTGCAATATGCAATCTGTGGATTACACTTCAGGTGTTTCGGTGATCATATTACATTTAATGCTTTGTATATGAATGTATTTATATGAATGTGCATGGGGAGGGGGGAATGTTGAGCAGAATAAATGAATGTGATATTTGGGCCTTCCTCAGTTTCTAATTTTTCCAGCTTTAAGTTCATTTCATCTTTGTCTTGAATCTGTTTTCTGAGGCAGGATGGGGCATTGTCTCCACAATATAAATATCATTGTATACCTCTTCTAATTTATGGATTTTATGTACAGTACAAAATTTTATGTAATGCACATTTTCTGCAAGCAGTTCTCTATAAATTTATTCTGTATGTTGTTATCACTGTGCAGTTCTTCATTAGAAAAGCTATTAAGTAATGTAATTCCAAAAAAGTAAAAGGAATCTCACAACTATAACTAGGTAAAGTTGTAGGTAGTGACCTAAAGACTGTTATTTTGTTATAAGTCTTGAGGCTTCATAAGTGACTGCAGCTGTTCATAAAAGTCTGTGAATGCCAGAGCTCCAAGTATCGGATGAAGTGGACTGTGATTCATAAACAACATGTGCTGATAATTTTCTTAGTCTTTAAGATGCCACAACTTAATTATTTCTACCAGGATAAAAGTTTGCTTTTTACATTTTCTTAATTATAATTGTAGTTAAGTATAATTATAATGTGAGCTTCTTTTTCTAGTCACAGACAAAGATTACATGCACTTCAGTTATTTGTGCATATCTTTGATGCTTACTATAGAATATAAGATAATTTATTGATTATTTTTCAGGGAACAGTTATATTTATACTTATTGTTGTTCCCCACCTCCCCGATTTTTAGGATGGGTTTGTAAATATGTTTACTGTAGCTACATTTTGGTACTTTTCATCAAAGTGAAGTTCTGTTTACTAACAGATAAAGGACAGTTTTCACTAAATTTCCATTCTTATGCAACTCTGAGTGTCAGCCTCCACACCTCTGAGATAAATTTTCAGGAGATAGAGAAAGCTGAAAAAAGGAGGGGGAAATCAACAAAATTAGATATTCCTTCATTCCACCAGGAGGATTTCCTTCTTGGATTAAAAGCCATGAATGTAAAGAACCTGCAGGAAGGAAATTTTGATTCGAGTTAACTGTTTCATCTTAATAATTTTAATAGAGGTATCCCTAATCTTTTGGGAACATTTTGGGAACATAACATGGACAGTTACAGGAAATGATTGCCGTAGCAGGCATGCTCTCTCACAAAACTTTATTTGGAAATAAATACAGTAATTGGAACTGTAGCTTGCTTTGTGGTACACTAGCCTTTTTGTTTGTTTGTTTGCCTGCTTGTTTCATTTAAATTTCTTTGCAATCATATGGAATCTGGCAGGTACCAAGGTAGATGTTATTAAATGCATTGACACGCATGATTATCATAGTGGGGATTCAGGCTTTAGGGAATGTATTTTGTATGTAGGAAGAAGTTTGTACATTTAGAATAGCTGTGTTCTGTGAAAGGTAAGAGGAAGATTGCATACAGGAGGGGCATACTGTAATCTAAAGAAGCTATATGCCTGTGATAAAAGAAACCAGAGATAATTCTTAAGTCATTGCCATTGCAGGTTCCACTGATAAAGAGGCGAACAGCTTTTGTAATAAAAAGTTAGAGCTAGATGGGCACAGAAATCTGATTTTATGTTGTATATCCCTTTGGACATATAAAATCTCTCTCCTGTGGAAAGATGTTTCTTAGTATTTTGGGGGGAGTAGCTTCTGATAAAGTTTATTAAATGTAAGAGTCCCAAACTTAAAACATCAAAAATGGAATCAGGGAAATTTCTCAAGAAAAAATTTCTGTGAGGGGAAAAAATCGTTACTATAAAATGAATGTACTTCATCCACTAATTTCTATCTTTGTTAGGCCAGTGAGATACATAACTCTGAGAATGGAAATTAGTGACATCTACTGTCCAAATAGGAAATTTAGCTGAAAGATATTGTGTTAAATGTTATGATGTTAAAACTTTTTAGTGGGTGAGTGAAGCAGTTCTAATGTATTTTTGGGGGGGCAAGACAAATATAGTTCAAATTGTACAGAATTCCAGAATTCTGGGAGTTGAAGTCCACCCATCTTAAAGTTGCCAAAGTTGAGAAACACTGGTTTAGGAAATTAAGCCTTGGAACTGGCCCTCATTCAATTTTTTTTTTTTCCTGGATTTCTATGTTCCACTGTCATAACATTTTCATTTCTGCAAACACACACACACACACACCCTGTCCTAAGTACTTAAGTAGTTTCTGGTCAACTTTCAGAGATCCTTATGGAATAAATATATACATCTTTCCAGTATATCTCATTTTATAATTTAGATTAAGTAGAGAGGAAATATCCAAATCCTAATTCAAGCATACACATTCTTTATGAAGTTGTGTAGATATGTGGAAAACTGCCAGTAGCAGCATCATGACTGAAGCATGAAATTGCTACTAGCTATGCACATGTATTACACACACATTCCTACATATGACCAATGATAATTGAGACTGAGTGAAGGCAGTAAGTCCCAGCACTTATTGTCACAGCATTGTTTATGTCAATTTCCTTCCACCTGAGAAAGAAAAAAAAAAAATCAGAATTGATGCACTATTTCCCAGGAATCACTTTGTCTGACAACAAATATGAAAGCTCCTTTAACACTTTTATTCTGTGGGTTTTTTTCATGATGCCATTATTTTCACCTGTATTGGCTTTGTGCTTATCTGCATTCTTTTAAAGGCTATTTTGCTCAAGAATGTGTCATCATTGATTAAGTGAGTTTAGTAACCCATTGCACTCTTTAGTTCAGATTACAGAAGTCATCAGCAACCATCCACTTCTTTTTTATATGCTCATTTTTAAAATTCATTAAGGCCGTAACTCTTGCAGTTAAAAAAGGCCATAACAGGGAATGCTAAAGCAACCTAAATATTAACAACAAACTCCTTTATTTTACCCAAGTAGTAGATCTAGGAACGGTTTAATTCAACTATTAATTTGTTTGAAACCTGCCCAAAAGTTTTAGGACTTGTGTGGAGAACAGATAATGTTTTAAGTCGTATTTATGCAGAAATATTGAAAATTCAAAAGGGTTCACAAATGTTTAAGCACCACTGTATATATTCAAGAAAACTCAAGTAATAAATGCCAGTATTCGGTATGCAGTAGTTTCTGAGGCAGAGGAGGCGGCAAAGCATGTGGGTATTTAAGACTCTGGCTTTAAAATATGTATTAATGTTAACAGTATAATTGAGCTTACTAATACCCATCCATTCTTAACAAAACTTTGTGTCCACCCAGTATTTGGGGATTTGGGGATTTGTGTTTGAAGAGTAGAAAATGCATCTTTGATACTTATCCAGTATAACAATGAAAATAAACAATTTAATTTTAGCTAGAGCTAAGTATGGCTTAGTCCTAGAACTTGCAAGAACTCAGCTGTGAAACATATGAAGTAAGGCTATGGAAATGCCTGCTTTTAGCAAATGCATTGTGCTTTTATCTTATGACTCAATGAGCACAGTTCATTCCAACACATTTTGGATTAGACATGTATACACACGTGTGACTTTCAGGCAGGTTTGAGCCTCTTTATCTGGAACTAGTAGAATATTATAAATCTCTTCTTTTGTAATTCAAATCAATGAATAGCTATATAACAGAACTCTCCAGTTAGTGGTTTGTGAACTATCCATGGGCCCTGGTAAGTTGCCACATTTTTGGAATGGAAAAACCAATATAATAGATTTTCTGGGAAGTCAGATTTCTGTAACAGAGACATGTAATCTGATGGTAAGTGTCCTCCTCCCATTTGCTCTGGAGGCAAGGCTTAGAATTTCTACTTCTTCTGGGAGAGGTTAGCCCCTTCCCTAGTTCTAGAATGATGCCAGAAAAATAAATCAAAGACAAAACACTTAACAAATTAGAAATATGTGAAAAAACTACATGCTCTAGTTATAGATGGAGCCCTGAAATGTTTTCCCATCTCAATACTGACTGGGTTGGCTGGATGCTATATCGATTTTTAGCACGCTAGAAAATGGATCTCCACAGTTAGTTCAATATAGCATTTTCCTGGAATCTTGTTAACATTATGTGTCAAAATATATAAAGGCTTTGACAGTGTATCTGCTCTCTGTTCTAGATAAGTTACTTTTTATGAATGCCCTTAGTAGTTTGGCTTGAAGTTACTCCAAATACATAAAAACAATTATATTGTACTGGTGTTCATTTATTATATAAACTGAATCTTAATTATTGGCTTTTCTGTCTGTTTTCCAGCTGCATTTACCATGATCGGCACATCCACCCATTTATCTGATCAGTGTTCCCAGTTTGCCATCCCATCTTTTTGTCACTTTGTGTTTCCACTGTGTGATGAGCGTTCCCGGACACCTAAGCCTAGAGAGCTATGTCGTGATGAGTGTGAAGTTCTAGAGAATGATCTTTGTCGGCAGGAGTACAACATTGCTAGATCCAACCCCCTCATTCTGATGCAGCTCCAGCCACCTAAATGTGAGGACCTGCCACTGCCTGATTCTTTGGAAGCTGCCAACTGTATAAAAATTGGAATTCCTGTGGAACGGCTCAATAGATGTAAGTTATGGTTGCATTTTCTTTCTGCTTTTCTATTTGTTTAATCCAAAATTAGTATGGATTTTTTATCAGAATGCCATTTCCGAATGTATGCTTGTGTTTCCAAAATTTAACTCATTTGAATTTTTTGCCTTTTATTGGACTTCTGGGGAACCAATGGCGAACTGAAGGTGGCTTTGCTTTCAGCTGAGCCAACGACGTGGCAGAACAAGGAGCTGACAAACATATCAGCATTTCAAAATTCCTCCCCGGACAAAGAAAAGGACTTGGGATCGCCCATAAGACTCCTTAGAGAGGCTCACTGCAACGAGACCGTAAAACAGTGTTTTTAGAGCTCTGGGAGAGTCAGTTTGCCCAAGCCGCAGTTTGGAGCCTTCAAAGAGACACTGGGTTTGCCCACTTCCTTTCTTAATCACTTTTGTAAATGGCTTGTAAATTGATTTTTGGACACTAAGAATCTTCAGAAAGACAAGTTTTATTTTACTGGGTGATTTTCCTTCTATCCTTAATGAAAGAAGTTTCATGTAAGTTTAAGAACTTAAAGTTTGTTTTTTTTAATTTGGAAATAAGCAGCAAAAGGGTGATTAGAATGTTGATTTTGGAAAGTTATAAACAGACTAAGGGGCTAGTTTGACTGGAAATAAGATTTTGAAATTAACTATAAGAATCCTTCCTGTGGGTTGTTTAAAATCCTATTAAAATATATATTAAGATCTTGAAGTGAAGTTTAAGAGATCTTTCCATGGGAAAATGGTGTGGATTAGAAAGAAATGTGATAAAAGGAGACCTTGATGCCTGGTTACTAGAGGGAACCAGAAAGAACTAAAGATTACAATTAAAGGAGAAGACCCACTAATACAGAATGGAGAAAAGTAATTTAACTCTGGAAGATTTCAAGGATATTTGGCAACAATGTAGTCAGAGCTCTCTCTTAAGATTGTCTGATACTATAAAATGGGTTTTAAAGAGGAGATAGAAGAAGATACAACTGAGAATCAGGCTGTTTTGGATATGGATTTAAAAACGATAGAATGCCAGAATGCTATGGACAAAGATGCCACACAGGACTTACAAATGAAACCGGTTCGTGTTTTAATATCTAAAAGGGACATACGAATAATAAATCAGAACAGTGACTTGGATGTGTGGATTTCAACACAGAAGAGTGACTTGGACAACTTATTTTGGATTTACAGAAGAGATGTGTTACCCTTATGAAGGAGTTTCTGAGAAAAGATAAAGAGAGGATGAAAAGAAATCAGCTTTTGGGACATTTACTTAAAAGGAATAAAAATCAAGATTTTTAAAACCAAAAAGAAGGTTTATAAAGTTGGTTTGTTCTATCAAGGTTAAAATATATGTCTTTTCTTCTAGTAGTTTTTAATGGATTTTTTTTTTTACCAGGACTGAATGATGAGATCTTAGAAGTTTGCTATTTGATAAGATATGGAGAGAAGAGATTTTTGTTGTATGATTAGAGAAAGGGATGGGTTATGATGTTAAAACTGAAAGAAAGTGTTAAATTTGCAAAGGAATTTCTGACGGGAGATGAAGAGAAAATGATTAATTTGTGGGATATTATTTGAAGAGTTTAGAGATTAAGATTTTCTAGTAATGGAATTTTTTAAATTAAGTTTGAACAATGAGCTTTTATAGGTTTGATTAAAGATATAAAATAAAAATGGGAAGAAGAGATTTTCTTGGTTGTATTTTTAGAAAAAATAAGTTACTGTATAAAGGAAATGAAATGAAATTGATTTACTTGTTTAATGTGATGGATGGATGGATGGATGGATGGATGGATGGATGGATGGATGGATGGATATTTATTTATTTATTTATTTATTTCTGGTAACTCTTAATGGACTTTTGCTGATTAAGATTGAATGATGAGATTTTATTATTTACTAATAGATAAACGATGAGATATGGGATGAAGAGAATGAAGATGGTTGAAATTTTAGAGAAGGTGATAAGTTACTGAAATTGTGCTTATCTTGATGAAGGGGGAAGTCATTTCTTTATATATTCTTTTTTTCTTTTTTCTTTATATATATTTTTCTTCCCCCTTTTTTCTTCTTTTCTCTTTGCATTTTTTATTCTTTTTTATTCTTTTTATATTTTTCTTAGTTTGTATTAATTTTTATGCCTGTATTTTTAAACTTTAATAAAAATTATTATTATTTTTTTAAAAAAGAAATTTTTGCCTTTTCTTGACTGCTTGGAACTGACTTGGAGGGAGGATACAGATTTGAGAAAGAGGAATAGCCCAGATGAAAACTTTCTCTCTGCTTCTCATCTGTACAGTGTGAAGGATTATTGTCAGAAGAATGTAGAGGCTACCTGAAGCACCTGACCAGTTGCCAGACCTCCCTGAAAGCAAAGGATGCCCTTCTTGAAGCTACCTGCTTTAAGTTGCGCTTGCTTCAGAAATATCCCATGTGCACACAGTGTGGAGGGGGTACAATCTGTCACTGTTGTGAGGCGCTCAAAGCATTAAAACTGCAGTGAAATAAGTTTGGTGGAAAAAGAGACAGATAATCTTTTGCAACTAGGTCAGATATAGTATACAAATAAAAATGGTGCTTGGTAGTAATACATTTGCAAGAGAAAGATCTAAGAGGGAAAAAATGGGAGAGAGAAGAGATGGAAGAAACTAAATGGGGGGCTGGGGGGGGGAGAGAGATAGCTTAAAGATGGTAACTCTGGTAGGATACATTTTGAGCAAGTGAAGCAGTTGAGACACAGTATTGTTGGCACTGATGTTCTAGTTAATTCCTGAATTGCTTCCTTAGGAATAAAGCTCATAGGAAACTTATACTTCTTAGCTAACTTGTTTCTGCAAGCTCAGTTCTTTTCCACATATTTTGCTTATAGAACAAGCAGCTGATCTTAATCCCAAACCAGGGATTAAGGAAACTCCTGCAGAAACACAGAGTGTGCTATGTAAGGCTGCTGGTTACATATATTTCTGTGTTGCATCATCCTATCTTACATACGTAGCAAAGAAACAGATTTACTATGCAGAGAGAAGGAATGGGAGCATTTCTTATTGTTCATGTATCTCTTGTTAAATTCACTTTTTTGCAGATCACCAGTGTTACAATGGCTCTGGTGCAGATTACAGAGGAACTGTCAGTGTCACAAAGTCAGGCCACAATTGTCAGTACTGGGATTCCCAACATCCTCACTCCCATGACTTGACAAGTACAGAATTTCCTGAGCTTGGAGGTGGGCATGCTTATTGCCGCAATCCTGGAAGCCAGATGGAAGGGCCTTGGTGTTTTACTCAGAACAAAAACATACGCATGGAACTGTGTGAAGTACCTTCATGTAGTATGTATTTTTTTTTTTACCATTTCTAGAATATTTGTAGTAAAAATTATTCAAGCATGAATTATGGTTAAATCTTTTTTGTTACTGTTTTTATAAATGAAATTAATCCAAAAATTAGTTTCCTATTAAGGTATCATGTATTGATTGACACTGACCCTAAGGGCAGGTAACCAGTTGGCCTGGACCACACCTGTTATTTTTTGGTTTAAAGGAGGTAGAGACTGAAGACTTGGAAAAATCATGCAAATTTGTCATGTGGTGCAGCAGATTTGTCTAATAATTCTTCTGGGGTGATGTAGCAGTTGTTCATCTGTACCAAGTATAATCTTGGCATTCTGTTGTTGACAGAAAAAGTTTGGCTGGATTTCTGTCCAGTGAAGAAGGATATTTGATCCAAGTAGTGCATTCTAATCCAGGGACAAAGAAAGTAAAAAATAGTGTGAGGAGTAGACATGGCTATGATGCCTTTAAGATGCTTAAGAGAAAATATTAAGAGGTTCAATATATAGTTGTTCAGTTCAGAAATACAGAACCCAGACACCTCTTTGCACGGTTTGCTTATATATGGTATGGATGGGCATGCTTTGGCCTGTTGCCTTGCAGCATGAGAGCACTATATAATTTGTGCAGGCAGTGGTAGGATTTTATGTTTTTAAATTTTTGCTAGTTTTTCTTAGAATATGTTGCTGGCCCTAAAATGAAAATAGATGGAAATGGTAAGATATGAGGCTATAGAGACACATATATTGGAATAACCTCTTACGCTGAACGTTTGCTGCTTTCAGGTTTTTCACTGTGTCCCAAAGGGTACTGGTGGGTGGGACTAGGGAGACATTAAACTGTGATTTAATGTTATTTCCAAATGAGATCAGGAATGATTCTTTGTACTGTGGCTTTAAACAATTCTTTGTGTAATGTGAAAAAAAATATATACATTTAGTAGTATGTTCTCAAATGTTATCATACAAATGCATGGTATATAGGAAAGTCCCCTCAGGTGCCACTGGTTCATTCTGATGCAGAGCTAAAGTGTCAGATCTTTGAGAATAATAATAAAAATGGGAACCCGGTCATGGCTTTGAATAATGCCTCACTAATATTCATTATGACTAAAACCAATTTATTGGTTTGAACTTTGCTTTAATTTTATTTTCCTTTTTATGTCCTCCTTTGTGGCGTGTTTGTTCTTTCCTAAAAGAACAGGATATAAATATTAAACTAGATGCGACTCAAATAAGGTTGTACTACTGTGCCAAACATATATTTGAGTGCTGGGTTCACTCTAGCCCAAAGTCCACTTAATTTTGCTTGAGTATAAGCAGGGTTCTTCCCAAAAACTCCCATACTTTCCATTCACTTTTTGCTTCCACCCATTCTTCTCTGTCCTTTCTTTACTTTCTGCTTCCTCTCCACACTCTGGTACTGTGCAGTAGAAGACAAGGGACAATTACTCACTGCCCCCCTGCTTGGGAAAAGGTACTCTGTGCAAAGAAAAACAAGATAAAATCAGAGTTTAAAAAGGCCATTTAGATCATCAGATCCAACTCCCAACTCAGTGCAGGAAGTCCGAGCCATGCAGTGAAGGGAATCTCACCAGTTCTCAAGATAATTGAGCTTCACTATCCATCCAGTTCTTACCATTGGAAAGTTTTGACTAACGTTCATTTGAAATGCGCTTGGTTTTAACGTAAACCTGTTTTCATTCTGCACAATGGGATGGTAGAGAACAGATCTCAGATTGTCCCTCTCTTCTCCAAGCACAGTGTGCCTTCTGTTTCATAGAATGATGGTGAAAGGGAACAGTTACTTCCTTTTCAGTGCAGAAAGGGAAAGAGTTCTAATTGGAGAGCAGAAGAAGAGAACAAGTGCGCCTTCATTTTACATAGAGGAAAGTCTAGGGTAGTGGTTTGAACTCCACTCCCTGGGTCACCCAGTCCTATAAGTGGGCAAGACAGTTTGGCTCATAAGCAAGCTTCACTTCCCCACTCCTGCTCTCTTGATTCCAGCATCCTATTTACTTGAGCCCCAAGTTTGGGCCTTAGTTCCTACACTAGATTTAATGAGCGCCTAGTTTGCCATATTAGAGTGCTTTGTAGCTTGAGAGATATAGTCTTCCACATACTAACCTTTTATGTTCTACACCCATCTAATGCTCCTATCCATTCTTTTAGATTCTTATTTTTTATATGTACTTTTAGTTTTTAATGTATATATTTTATATCTTCTAGCTTTTTATGATTTTTTAGCTTTTTATTTTTACTCTTAATCTATCTTAATGATTGTATCCCATACTCCTTATGCTCGTCCCCTCCTTATGCTGGTCTATGACTGTAATAAAGATTTGATTTGATACTTAACAAGGGAAAAAATTGGGATGCTTTTCCATTGTGCAATCTGTGGGCAAAAAATTAGGTGTGCATCAAAATGTTATAACAAACCACTGGGTCTGAGGCTTAATGATATGCCTTGGTAAAACTGACCATATAGGTAGTGTTGAAATATATACTAATCACTCAATTCCCTGCTTTTTATTTGAGATCAGCCCTTTGTGTCCACTGTGGCTTATGTTACAGAGGAGTGTGTAAGATTGTATTACATACTGCTGTTGGCTATATTCATTATCTGTCCTTGCAGTAAAAAAATTATTTGCATTGCTTTTGAACTCAGTCTGAAAACATGCAATACTTTTTAATCTAACAGGCCCACGTGACAACAGCAAAATGGGCATCCTCTACATCCTGGTTCCAAGCATAGCCATCCCTCTAGTTATCGCCTGCCTTTTCTTCTTGGTCTGCATGTGTAGAAACAAACAGAAGGCATCTGCTACTACTCCACAGCGTCGTCAGTTGATGGCATCTCCCAGCCAGGATATGGAAATGCCGCTCATTAATCAGCACAAACAGGTAACTTATACAAACACACACACACACACACACACACACACATTATTTTACATCATAAACATAATGACATTTAATATTGTTCTGGAATCTTCAGCTGGGACATTTCAATTTGAAATTTCTTGACCATATCAAAGCTTCCAGTATGTTCTTCTTCATTTCTTCATTTCTCATTTGTTTGACCTCAGTCCAGGTGCAGAAAGATGCCAAGGTAGCAAAAGTCCTTGAAACAAATTCTGTGCATTTAATCGGCTTAATATAAATGTAACCATAGCCTTTAATTTTAACTTGGATTTTCATCATTTATTTGCTGCTAAGGTTTCTAATAAAGAGGACCAGTAACTTATCCTGTGACTCTTTTTACTTTCAGAATAAACTAAAAGAGATCAGCCTTTCAACTGTGAGATTTATGGAAGAGCTGGGTGAAGAGAAGTTTGGAAAAGTTTATAAGGGTCACCTATTTGGTACAGCTCCAGGGGAGCAAACACAAACAGTTGCTATCAAAACACTCAAGGATAAAGCAGATTTAACTCTCCGAGAAGAATTTAAACATGAAGCAATGATGAGATCAAGATTACAACATCCCAATATAGTTTGTTTACTGGGAATAGTGACCAAAGAACAGCCCATCAGTATGATTTTTAGCTATTGTGCTCATAGTGATCTCCATGAGTTCCTTGTTATAAGATCTCCCCACTCTGATGTTGGTAGCACTGATGATGATAAGACAGTGAAATCAACATTAGAGCCAGCTGATTTTTTTCACATTGTAACTCAGATAGCATCAGGAATGGAATATCTCTCAAGCCACCATGTGGTCCACAAAGATTTGGCCACCAGAAATGTACTTGTCTTTGATAAACTCAGTGTGAAAATATCTGATTTAGGTCTTTTCAGGGAAGTTTATTCTGCTGATTACTATAAACTAATGGGAAATAATCCTCTTCCTATTCGATGGATGTCCCCTGAAGCAATCATGTATGGCAAATTTTCAATTGATTCTGACATCTGGTCTTACGGAGTAGTGCTGTGGGAGATCTTCAGCTATGGCTTGCAGCCTTACTGTGGCTATTCCAATCAAGATGTCATTGAGATGATTAGAAATAGGCAGGTTTTGCCATGCCCAGATGACTGTCCTGCATGGATGTACTCACTGATGTTAGAATGTTGGAATGAATTTCCCAATAGAAGACCAAGATTCAAAGATATCCACAACAGACTGAGAACATGGGGAAACCTGTCAAATTACAACAGTTCTGCGCAAACCTCTGGTGCAAGCAACACTACACAAACCAGTTCCCTCAGTACAAGCCCTGTTAGTAATGTAAGCAATGCCAGGTATGTTGGGCCAAAGCAGAAAACTCAAGCTTTCTCTCAGCCACAGTTCATACCAATGAAAGGACAGATAAGACCAATGGTCCCACCTCCTCAACTTTACATTCCTGTCAATGGTTACCAACCAATGCCAGCCTATGGAGCGTATTTGCCAAATTTTTATCCTGTCCAAATCCCAATGCAGATGGCTCCTCAACAAATGGCTCCTCAGATGATTCCAAAGCCAGCCTCCCACCATAGTGGGAGTGGTTCTACAAGTACAGGGTATGTAACAACTGCTCCCTCCAATGCTTCCATGGCTGACAGGGCTGCTCTGCTGACCGAAGGAGTAGAAGAGGCACATAATGTGACAGAAGATATTGCTCAGAGTTTGGTCCAGGAAGAGGAAGAAGAAGAGGGCTCTGTGCCTGAAACAGAATTGTTGGGTGATAATGACACTCTTCAGATGGATGAGACAGAATTTCAGTCAGAATCCTAAGGATGTTGCCTTATCACAGGGACAATATTGGACTTCTTTTTAGTTTTTTGAAGACTATAGTTCTTCCAATTTATACAATCAGTGTTTTTCTTCAGACTCCTATCTACCCAAAAGCTACATAAATGCAGTAATATTGATATACCGTTTTAATGGATTTTTTTCCAGGAGAAATTTTCATACATGTTATAGAATAGTTATTTTTAAATCTAGGGTTGAATACAGCTCTTGCAGGGAGGCTGCTTTTATAATATACTGTTGCTGTGCAACATATAGTAGAAATGCATTGCACATCATGTATATCTTGAACTCTGATTGTATTTTTAATGAATTCTGGTTAAATCAGTAACCAAAAAAAATAGAGCTAACTTGGGATTGTTCTGCGTGTGAAAAGATGCCCAAAATGTAAAAACAAAAACAAAAAAACAAATAACTCCCGCGTATCTTACTGATGCAATAAACTTTCAAGGGAATTATTCATATATAGTTAAGGTACAGGTAAGGAGCAGAACAACAGAAACATTTCTCTCAGTGGCCAATCTTTTCCTACAGAAATCAGATAATTATTTTTATGTTTGAAGTTTGACCTGATTTAGCAGGAAGTATATTTTGCTACCCCAAAGAAATGACAGGTGTAGGCTATGCACTAACTTAAGCCAACCCCTTCTGCCTGTCCAAAGTCAAATTCTAATAAAACGTTTCAGAAATAGATCACCATATTTCGTTGATCTCACTGATCACTACAACTCTTACTTTATTTTTCTTTAAGATGGTGCTAGAGATCGCAGTGATCAGTCTGGATTGTCAATTCATTTTCTTTTAGTTAAGATGGTACTAGACAAATGCACATATGTCCTTCATTTTTAAAGAATAGTGATTGTAGATTCTTAACCGAAATAAGTGATTTTGTACAGAGTGTATTTGTATGTTATTAATGTCTTATTGTGAGATGAATCATGTACAGATTTTGAAATGTAATTTATGTTTTCGTACATTTAATGTTTTTTTTTCTAATTGCAACATTTGGTTTTTTAAATGCTTATATAATTATGATTAATAGTATTTTATTGGGATTGGAACTTTGTACACTTTGGTATGCTGATAAAACTGGTCCATACATTTCACAGAAATTTCTGTAGCATGAATTCTCCCTGAATCACATTATATTGTAGCCAAATATAAATTAATGTTTTAGGCTATACATTCAGTACATTAACTAACCAAGCAACACATCAGTGGTGATTAATTTTAACGTGTTGCAAAAAAAGAGAAAAAAGTAAAAATGGAAAGTCTTTTTTGTTGTTGTTATATTTTACTTGTTAAACTGTACTTTTCCTAAGAACATTTGGATTTCCTTAAGGTGTATCATTGTGATCTGAAGCCCATGGTAGTGACAGGAGCTGTTCTTATTTGTAGTTTCTTTTGAATTTGGCTATGCACTGGTAGTTAAACAATGAAAAACTCTCTCGCTTGTTAATATAAGTGTGAGTTGGAGACTATTAATAAATCATTTAAATAAATTGAAATTTACTTTTTAAATTGTGTTGAAATTTGATACTATAAAATCAAGTGAACTTGGGGCCTTGATTTTTTTAAAAGCCTTGCTTAAAGGAATTTGAAACAGAGGACAAATGAAATTAGTGTTTATCTGTCCATATAAATAATCCTATAATGTAAAGAGAGACTGCGCCATCAGCATTTTTTAGATACCGTGCATCTTTATTCCCTAGTCTCAATTTCTATATCTCTAAAATTCCCTATCATAATATTACTACAAGGGCACAACAATGAATAGGAAGAAGATAATGAGAAGATAATGAGTGGAGAAAAGGATGGTATAAATAAATCTTTGATCCTGGTGCTGAAATGTATTGTCTCAAAGTAATCTTGACTCTTTAACAGAAAATATGACCTGGTGCTTGCTTCTATATTGCATTACCATCATAGATCATTTGTATTTTTTAAAATTCTTGACTGAATATCTGTTGAATAAATACTATTCACTCTCTAAGTGAGTTGGAATAGTATCCATGTTTAAAATATTGTTCAATTTGCCAGAATATATATATTTTGCTATCTCAAAGGGAAAGTTAGCCAGAATCAGAACATATATTCTAGCTGGTTGTCAGTAGCGAACAGAAAGATAAAAACAGTTCCAGAATTATGCATTATCACAGCTTTTGATGCATTACATTTATCCATGTTGTCAACATTTTTTTGTTGTTGAACTATAGCTACATATCTAAGCAGGAAGAGGAAATTGACCAAAGACCTCTGATTTCCTATGGTTTCTGAAGGTGTAATGTAGCTGTACGTGTCCACATGTTTGAGATGTGGTAACTTGGGCCCTCTAATTTCTGTGAGGTGCCTCCAAAACCTTCCTCCCAAATCTTGTTTTCCCTACCCACAGTTCCTGTGGGGGAATGAGATAGTATCTGCCACCAGCCACTTTATCTCAGATAAAGTTTTTCTTGTCACTGAATTCTTTAGGAGGAGATAAGTGATAACTTCCTGTTCTCTATAACCCGAGAGCAGGAAAAGTATTTGCTAAAGGCTATAGCCTTTTTTTATAATGGCCACAACGATTCAATAAAAAGTAGAATTTTCATTATATATAGCAAGGTCAGAGCCTTAGCAGAAATATGAAAAAGAAAAGGGAAAAAGAAATGAACATTTGCTTTCTAAAAAGGTTGAACTCAGTTGCTCTCTAAGTTAATTTTCTCCCTTTCTCACACACATACCTGAAGAATTTTATACAGCAGAGGTCTCTGCCTGTAAAATAAAACAAAATTTATAACATACTATCTTTGCTGTTTTCAGCTTGCTGTCCAAATTACAAAGTTCAGCCCTGTTTCTGGTGGCTGGGTCTCTTTCACTTGTAACTGGTTTCCAGCCAGCCTCCAAGAGCAGACATGGAGAAAGTCCTCCTCTGGATAAAAGCCCCTTTTCGGCATTTGAATTTCCTTGGCTTTGTTTTTTCTCTACCCAATACCTGCAGTGACATTAAACCTTCAGCCAAATGTAGAACGTTCAGTTCAAATGTAATCTCTAGCAAATGCATAAGCTTTGTGGATAGCTGAAAGACTGTAATTCGTATTTGAGCCATACTAGCCAAGGGGTTTATGCCCCATAATTTTACAGCCGAGTTTCCCCGAAGAAGCATTCCTTTATACATGTATGAGTTTAAATGAATCCCATTACTCATTTAAGCCAGTTCTTCATTTCTCCCCAAATAGTTGATTGGTTACAACTTCATTATGTTGGCCCAAGAGCTTGGGCCATCACTAGCCATGCTTAGCAATTATTTCATTTATCCATCTTCCATGTTTATGTGCTTACAAATCATCCAGCTGTCGTCTGCAAGCTCTTCAGCTTTACATTCTTATACACAGCTTTATAAGGACTATTAAATTCAGCTTCAATCTTCATTCATAACTCCACAGCTGCTTATGGCATAACGAAAAATAATACAGGTGACTTTCATTGTTCATTTGTTTTATTGTATGCTGAAAGGACGGGGAAATTTCTTTTTTGAAATGTATTTACTGACATTGGCTAAAGCTCCATCCATGAGTAGCTTTACCTGTGGCATTCACATAGCCATTCTGTAGAATATACCAGAATATACTTTTATTTTTACAGCTGGATTCATGCCCAGATAAGCATTATATTCTCCAATTTATGTAGCTCAGCTACTTTAGAAACCACTTTAGTCCTTAATTTCAACTGGTCATGACTGTAGATGCTGTTTCAAAAAAAAAAAAAAAACCCTTAAACCTGATACTTAAAGTTGTCCTAACGATTAGCTTGGATTAGTTCCAACAAAAGGAAGTCCAGATATCTCTGATTTAGGGAATTAGATACATTGTATCAGAATATCAAATCACCCCATTCCAGATTTATTTCACATGTAGTTGATGGAACTATATAAATGCTGCAACAATGGGATTATCTCTGACTGTGCTGACATTCCTAGCATGGAATGTCTAAGGAGAGAATAAAACCTACAATTTATCTTTGTTCACATATTAATCATGTGGGAGGAGGGCACTTGCTTATGGAAAGCGTTCTTATAATTGTTTCTGTTATTTACAATAGTATATCATGCTTTTAAAAAAAGATTTCCCAACTTCCCCTTTGGAAAGAGAGTAATAATTCTGCTTTGTGCTCTCTGCTTATACACATATAGAGAAATCTCTACAGTGCATCTTTCAAGCACCCATAGCATGCATACCTACAATTTAAAATCCAAGACAGAATGTTTCCTACAAAACTTGCCTTTGCAGTTTCTGTAAGATGAAAAGCCTAATCAACTTCTGGAATGAAATAGCACATTTGGGGCAGGAGGGACCCTTTTAAAAGTGTGTTTAAACATAGATATTTACACCATAAATGTTCAGAAATCACAATGTTTTGCTTCTTATCTAGACCTAGAATTTTGTTTGGTAGTTAAGTTAGTCTAATATTTTAAGTACATTAGGTCCTGTTTTCTGAAATCCCAAAGACGCTTTCCTACATCTGCACACTCCATCTTCTGCATCCCAAACTGCTCACATCTTGAGATTTGCTGCCTCCTGTTTTGTGGTGTCTGCTTACCCTGTCTCCTGAACTTCACTTTAAAGATACTCTCAATTTTCAGTTTATTATCTTGTGAACTTTTTTGAGCATAATACTTACTTTTGCTAGTTCAGTAATAGCTTGTTTTTCACTTCTAAATTGCTTCTTGTGTGTCTTCGTATGCCTTTTGTCATATAAGATGACAGTGATGGGGGAAGGCCCAGTTACTGCTTATGGCAGGACCTATTTTACAAGGAATCCCATTACCCGATTCCTATCTTAATTCTTTGGAGAACCAGTTTGGTGTCATGGTTAAGGCAGCAGGTTAGAAACCAGGAGACCATGAGTTCTAGTCCTGCCTTAGGCGCAAAGTCAGCTGGGTGACCTCCAGCCAGTCACACTTCTCTCTTTAGTAACGCATTTACCTGGGTTTTACACTAATAGCAAACTGTTAACGGGGAAAGAAAAACTCTTCATCCCTGTTGTTCCTCTGTTTTCTGCCTGTCATCTGAAACCATAGTGAGATTCAAACATCACGTCTCCCCTGAACCACATTGTCGCTTATATTCGCTACACAGTTCAGCAGTGGAAAAAAAGTCCTGCCTGTTTAAAAAGGTAACACAACATGAATTGAGCAGATCCACAGAATTTTCCCATCCCTGTCTTAAGAATACAAGAGCTGCATGGAGAACTTAATGACCTCTCTGACTGTTATTAATTTCAATAAGCATTTTCAAGTTGCACAGACCTAAAAACACTAACAGGGAGGAGGACATTATGGTCAGTCAGATTTTTTTTTCAATATAGACATACATAGAATTGGAGTCTCCCATACAGCGTTGAGGATAACCTTACAGAGGTAGAATTCCACAGCATATCCACCCATTTACAGTAACTGATTTGGAATAACATCCAGGATCCTTTACTTTGTTACTGCTCAGGGAGGCTTGTTCTATGCAAAGTAATAATGCCAATAAGATGTGTTCCTTCACCTGCCATTGTCATTTTTTTAATGAAAAAGCAAATGTCCTAATGGGAAGAATAAATGTTTTCTGTAGTCATAAACAGCCTTGCTACAAAGCATACATTTTATCCAACCCTGAATGCTCTGTATGTTGTGATCTTCTTATTGAAACATATTTAATGGCCTGGTTTCAAGAAATATTTTCCAACGTACATGCAGATACAGATGCTAAACTTTCTGTAAAAAGTAGTATGTTTCATCTGTCAATATATATCCTATTATATAAAATCAACAGATGTATTGTATTTCCCCTTAATAGTTTTCAGTAACATGATTATGCAGTTTTGTAGAAGTAATTGGGTATTGAGACTGTGCTAGATTTATTTTGATAATGTACATATTTTTTCAAAGCAAGTTCTTGAATTACATTTGGAGTGGAACAATTTTTCTTAAAAAGCCTGGGTTTTTGGCAGGGAAAACCTATTTAAGTGAAATACAGAATTTAAATTGTAGAACTTTGAGGGAATTGACTTTTTATTGAATCCATGGGAACTCAGAATGTCTAACAAGACTCCACACCTTTGAACAACATGGTTTTACAAGTGGGGTGCCTGCGTTGAATAGTTTTGGACTCACGGAACAGCTGCACGTGCCAGTCTTCTACCTACCACTCTGGACCTACCTGTTTGAAAGCCTGGTGAAAATACCTTTAGTACTCCCTCTAAGATCCAATAGGTCAGTCATGGATATTATGCAACCACTTAATTATGCTTTTGCCACAATAGGCTCATTCAAAGCATGGGAAAATTTGAATCATCTGGGTAGTGCAACCCTTAACATCCTTGCCCTGGTCAACAATGCATACATTCTTCCATCTTACAACTTACTTACGGAGATGGAAATTTTCAGCTGTGCCAATGAAAAATCAGAGTAAAAAACTTTTCATAATATAGTATCTGATTTTTCTCAGGGTCTGTTTTTGATGACCAATGCCCATTCAA